ACTCCACGTGCTGCTGGTGTGGGCAGAAAACGGTGAAACTTTTATGAAACCCTATGGATCCACATACCTTCTCAGAAGGCAATTGAACCTTCCTGGCGCCTACATAAATAGTCTCCAATCACCGTACCTCAGGTTCGGTATGTGGATCAGGGAATGACCTGGAGCTGCAGTGGAGCTCCAAAATGGGGAGATCTGGGGGGTTGGAAAAGGGACGCGGTCACTGACATCACACCCACTGGAGTATGCTCTATACTGCTATACTTCGTTTGTTACTTCAAGGAGGATGCCCTTTAGCTTTAGCTGGACACACCCTGGCCATCCCTATAATTTCTTCTTGACACACCAACTTCCAGTATCAACTCCAACATGCCGAGACGGGTCGTCAACCAACCCACCCGGGTTCTTCACCAGGGAGGTTCTCCACCGTGGCCGGTGCCTTTGGCACCTCCACACCGCGCAGGTGTGGAACGACACCGTGGCGAACCTCACTCTGATGGCCTTAGGCTCCAGTGCGCCAGAGATCCTTCTCAGCGTGCCTCGGCGCCGTGCTGCTTGTTGGGGCAGAAACAGCAGCCCAAGAGAGGTGAAGTGACCTTTTTGGACCATTCTGGGGTACCCATGGGATAGTCTATAAGGTTCTTCTTTTCTCTGTTGCTAGACAACGTAGCACGACATATGAAGGATTTGACCACATCCATGTATGGTGTGGAGAGTGTCGGCCCTCCGAAATTCGGGCCACACCTGGAGATGTGAAGGCCATTCTGGTAGATCGTTTCATTTAATTGCAGTATTGCATATAATATACCAGCACCTTCCAAGGTAAGGGTCATCCATGGAAGCCTTTACACTACATATGGATCTCCATTCCCACACCCCTTGGAAGGTCCAGGTATATGTGAATCATATTTATACTATATATATATATGATTATACCTGGACCTTCAAGGGGTGGTTAATGGACACCCCTTAACGGCTAAGGGGCTATAAATAGACACCCCGTGGAGGGTCCTGATAGTTTCTTGATGTTTCTTTAACACATCAATCCACCTCACCTCCATGCGAAACCCACCTCACCTTGGTGTATGCGGGTGTATGCGCTACATCCCGACTGCGCTCGACTGCTGTCGAGGTGATCGAGCTCTTGGGGAATAGCTTCTACAGTGGAGACTTGGGTCCTTCCACCATCGTAGGCGCGGGCCCCACCCGGGTGAAGAGAAGGAAGGAGCGTGCGAAAGGAGAGAAGCGAGCGAGCGTTCCGGAGCAGCTGGGAGAAGTCAACACAAAGTGGACATGGGTTTGTTGGCATTTTTTCAGATTTTTTCAATGTCAGCAAATTCATTATAGTTCCTATATTAAAATATGTCAAAATCCTTATCATGTCCATGCAGTGCTACAACAAGGTCCAGTTTTTTTGTTTTTTCGGAGCACAGGCCGAGCCGTCGAACTCTTTTCTTGCCGACGCCTCAAACACCTTCCTCGGCCGAGCCGATCGGGCGAGGATCAGCAGCATTCAATCTCTTTTGCATCTCAGCGGTCTGCGTGCTTGCCATCAAGGACAATGAGGTGCGCCCGCCGGGGTGCAAGAGCAATTTCGACATGTTCCATTTAGGCACCCTTCCGTCCAGACGCCAATTGTCCGGTCCGAAGCTGGTCAGGTACTTGAACATGAAACCAAAACCAGCTGTTGAAGCAAACTGCTTGAATTCAGCTGTGAAGCAGCTTCAGATGCAGATGCGTGCCAGGTTCTACAAAATTCGGGCGATGTCTATTTTCCCCAGAAGGGCATTCACCATTCTGGGGATGCACCCATGCTCCCGGTTGCTGAATGTGTGTGTGTGCATGTGTCAGGTGAGATACATCAAGGACATGAATGTCTACCTGGTCACTGCCTTCGTCTCCGTCTTCGCATACCTGTGGTCAGCTTCCCTGGACGAGTTCGAGCGATCGGTCTGCTTGGGGTAGGTGATGCCATCGAAGAATGTAACACAGTCGTTAGAGTTCCTTGCCTTGTTTTAGTTAGATTGGTTAGGTAGTTAGATTAGGTTCCTGGCCCACATCCTCAGGTTAGGTAGTTATAGACCCCTCCTGGGTGCCCCCTTGTCCGACCGAAGCTGAGGATCCGTTCGGCCCGTTTTTTGAGGCCGCGAGGAGTGGAAGTTCAATCTGGCACAAGATTTTCCTCTACCATCCTCTAACCCGATTTCTCGTCATCTGGTCCTTTACGCCGGAAACTCTTCGAAGTCGATACCCTGGCCAACCTATACTGAAGCACGAGAGGCCGCCCTCAGCAGAGGAGCTCTCTCTCACAAAAAATCATCGAAAGGCGGTGAGTTCCTCAAGTTCGACCTTCTGTGAGGAGTTGTGGTGCCCCTCCACCAATTGAACATGGTCCCACCCCCGCCATGGTTCCACCATGGTTCAGCAAAAGTCCGCTCAGATTCGCTCGATGTTCTGCTCAGATCTCCGCGAAAAACGTCTACTCCGCTCCGTCCGTCTACTCCGCTCCATGGAATCTCATCTTCAGCACCCGGTCGACCTGCCAGGTCACCACGATAATTTGAAGTCTCCATTTCAGCGGAAACCAGATCTGTAGAGTCGGGTGGTGGTTTTTTCAGGTCATATCCAGACACCCTCCGGGCCGTTAGGGGTGTCTATGACATAGCCCCTAGTGCCCTGCTGTTTTCTTAGGGGTGTCCATTTTCACCACCCCGACTGGGCCGGGGGTCCTAGTGGTTGTCCCGCCCTCAGGTTGTACCTGGTGGTCTCGGTCATCTCGGAGGTCGGATCCGCTTCGGGAGACGTTCTCGGGTCCCGAGCGAAGCGAAGCCGGCCCGTTCGGCCGGGCGGTTTCAATGGAAAAGGCACCCGTTTGTAGAGGAAAGTCGTCTGGACCCAAGGCTTCAAGGGGACACCATGCCATCCAACCGCCCAATGGAATCTGTTCGTTGCCACAACCGCCGTGGGGTGGGGCGGATCGAAGAACCGTCCCGGCACGTGGGGTTTCTCACCGAAAGCATATCCCAAAACCCGAAACCCGCAATCAACATGCAGAGGACGGGAGAGGTGGCAACAAGACAACTGGTTGGAAAGCATCAGCAGTTCAGGGGCATGAGCAAAGATACGGGGCGAGCGATGTACGTGCTGCAGTCCCCTTGCTGGCAAAATTGGAAAGTGGAGTCCTTCACAGTCAGTCAAGACCAACCGCGGTGCATAGGACCCGACTCTATTCGGGGTGTAGACGACCGCAGCTCTGCATGGCTGGCGGCTTTTTTCTCACTCGCCGGCAAATATAGTCTCAAAGTCAGGGAAATCATTTTTGGCTTTTGGACCCTGAATGTCGCCACTTGACACAGTCATCGCCGATGGTCACATGTTTTTGGCCCCAGAATCACTTCAGCTGAGGGAGGGGGTGGTTGACTTGAATATTTGTTGCAAGGGTTTGGGAGGTCGACCAAGACGTTGCAGAAACATTGTTCACTTTGAGCAACGTATGCAGGTGCTTGTCGACCTCACTGAGTGAGGTGTTGTACGGACAGGTCTTTTTCGAAACTGGTCCCTGCATAGGTCGGATTTTCCATCCACATGATTTCCAAGACATGTCATGGGGGATTTCTTATGTCTTGGTATCTCTTCGGGTTAGTGTTTTGTAGGTGTCCGTTTTGGGGGTTTCTCGATCCGTCAGGACATCGTGGACATCTACGAAGGCCGGAGTTACACAGCTGGGGATAGACTTTTATGGCAGAAGACATGGGCCATAGGGGTGTAAAGCAGTCGAGTGTTTTCAGTTAAAAGACCAATAGCCTGAACACAGGTTTGCCTCTAGACTCTTCAAGCTTTAGAAGCTTTGGATGGATGTAGGTCAGATATGAGAACAGAGCAAACAGGAGCAAACCATCCAATCGTTCAAAGCTGCTGTATACAGATCCTTTTCGGGCAGATCACTGAGGTGCTCTGGGTGATGAAGGAAAATTGAACCTGCGATTTGGGGTCGCTTGGTGGTGGTGGTCCCAAGCTCTTAGTGGTCGAAAAGACGTTTTCTTCGCGCCTTACGGTGACCACGGTGACCACAGCGAACGTCTGCCCTGCGCAGTTTCTTTCGGCTCCTGGGTGTGGGTCTTCCAGCTTGGAGCAGCTGGAGCAGCCTCCACACTAAGGTACACAGTACGCAGGTCGGCCGCGAAGGGGACGAAGGGGAGGTCTCCACCCGGCCCCGCGAACGAAGCCTTTCGAATCGAACAGTTAGAGGACCTGGTCGGCCAACTGGTCTCTGCTGCTTGGTCGACCTGGAAGCGACGGCCCGACGGCCCCAGGTGTTCTCACCTTCTTCTTTTTCCCCATGCTCGTGGGCTTGGCCTTCGCGGCGGACAAAGGTGGGGCAGATGATGGTCTAGCTGCGAGGGTGGATGCGGGAGAACTGCATGGTGAGGATGGACGGAAAGGACTGGGCAAAGGCTAAACAGTGAACCCTCCTCAGGATCCGGACAGGGGTGGTTTTTGTGGTTCAAGAAGAGGAGAAGGGACGAATCTCCTGAACGCATGGAGGTCGAGGGTCAGGGCGAGCGTGATGATTTCGAGATGTATTGGAATTTAGTGAATCAATCTAATGGGGTAAAGATTGAGATGAGGCTGGAAAACAAACACACCATACCACGAGATCACACATCCCAGCGAACACAGCTCCTCATACCGAAATGATTGAAACGATGGTTAAAGGAGCTGCTGATGGTTGGGAACTTCCAGATGTATGTTTATAGCTGTTCAACAGGTGCGGAACATCGCAATCTTCCAATTTTTCGCGACATGAGTCGACTCAGTCGACTGTTGGCTCAAACACGAGGGATGGGGACGCTCACCGAATACATACGAATCATGCCGATAGCTATTCCGAATAAAGTACACTAATTTCATAATACTTATTTATGCAACAGATCGGTTAGCAATGTTTTCCGAATGGTTTGTATGCTGAAAACACGACTTTGCACTTGTGAGGCTGAGTTTCAATGATGCAGATTTCCGCTGTGTCTGGCAGAACAGTTGCTCAGGTGGATGAGGATGAGTTGCTTGACATGGTTGAGAATGGAAAGTCCTTTCTGCACCTAAAGCAGCTCCTTTCAGCCAAGCTCGGATACTCAAGATTTCGACAAAGGTTCTTGAGTGATACGATGGGCGAAGTGCATGACAGCATGCCGCTAATACCAGATTCAAGTGTGCAGCTGGTAATCCTGGACTTTTGTGCTCCAGATGAGACTAAGTGGGATGAGCTAGTTCGCCACTGTCGGGAGAATAATGTGGAGGAAGTAGAAAGCTTGCTTCAGAAACCATACGATCCCAACTGGAGAGGTTGTGACGACAATGCTACGCCCATTCATTTCGCGGCTGACAGAGGCCACTTGAAGATTGTGCAATTGTTGCTTGAGGCTGGAGTAGATACAGATGTCGCAACGACCGATGGGGCAACGGCTTTGTATTGTTCTGCCTGCATGGGCCATGTGGAAGTTGCGCGATTGTTGCTTGAGGCTGGAGCTGACAAAGATGCAAAAAACAGACATGGGGCGACGGCTTTGTATATTGCCGCCTGCAACGGCCACGTGGAAGTTGTGCGGTTGCTGCGTGAGGCTGGAGCTGACAAAGATGCAGCCATGACAGGCGATGGGAGAACGGCTTTGTATGTGGCAGCCCAGAACGGCCACTTGGAAATTGTGCGGTTGTTGCTCGAGGCTGGAGTAGATACAGATGCCGCAACGACCGATGGGGCAACGGCTTTGTATTGTGCTGCCTGCATGGGCCATGTGGAAGTTGCGCGATTGTTGCTTGAGGCTGGAGCTGACAAAGATGCAGCAATGACAGAGGATGGATCGACGGCTTTGTATGTGGCAGCCCAGAACGGCCACTTGGAAGTTGTGCCCTTGTTGCTTGAGGCTGGAGCTGAGACAGATGCAAAAGACAAACTTGGGTCGACAGCTTTGCTTATTGCTGCCTGCATGGGCCATGTGGAAATTGTGCGATTTTTGCTTGAGGCCGGCGCTGACAAAGATGCAGCAAGGACAGATGGGACAACTCCTTTGTCCATTTCAGCCAAGAACTGCCACTTGGAAGTTGTGCGATTGTTGCTTGAGGCTGGCGCTGACAAAGATGCAGCAACAATAGATGGGGCAACGGCTTTGATCACTTCAGTCGAGAATGGCCACTTGGAAGTTTTGTGATGGTTGCGCAAAGTTGGAGCTGAAAGAGATTGATTCAGCAGGCATACATTGGCCGGCAACGGCTTTGATTATTCCGGTAAAGGAAGGTTTCTTGGAACTTGTGCGATTGTTGGTTGTGGTTGGAGCTGACCAAGGATGCAGTTCTTTTCGTCGCGCACATAATGGGAGTGATTTGCCCAGAGGCGCCTGAAGATAAGGTGAGTTTCCGGATGTTTGGAAGACACTGACCAACAAGATCTGGGACAAAAAGGACGGGTGCAGCTAAACACCCTCGGTTCATATCGGTTTATTGGCACTTTAGGGCGACCAAACATCTCGCCCAGCGACAGGACTGGGAGATGGATCTCCTTCGTTGCTTGGTTCTTCCGTTCTCCATGGCACCAACGAACACAGCTTTCCTCACTCGTGTCCCCCCAACCCCCCTCAGTGAAGTTCTGGGCCTGGAAGCCCATTGTGCAGGCTATCTGTCGTGTATCAAAGAGCGTGAGAGCCCGCATGCCGTGAAGGCCCGGCGCCTGCGCGCGCGGGGGAACAGGGCCGCCCTTCCCTTCGCTCGCGGGAACAGGACGTGGGCGCCACGGTCTGTTGGACCATTTTCCTCCAGCGTCTGTTGGGACCGGTTGGGATCGGATTGATCCCGCTCTGTTGAAGCCCCCTCGGTATGGTACCGGGTAGGTGACAGAAATTGACAGTGAGACTATGTCACAGTTACATCATCACACTATGAAGGTTTTGAACCCATGTGTGAATGAAGAGAAACCTAAGTGGAGCATGCATTTAATTCACGGCTTTTGCATCTATGGTGGCCAAACACATTCTGGTAGCAGATCATGAAGGGATTTCTCCGCAATGAGAAATTTACGAACTTTGCTTTGAAAGGTTCGAGCGGTATTACATGGCCATTCTGCCAACGAGAAACGAGGAACTTGATTTGTGTAAGCCTCAATGCCTTTAGAGAGAAACAAGGTTGGTGGATTAGATTAAGCCTTAAGCGTCGCATATGACTCAAAGAAAGAGTTCACTTCTGCAGTATTGGGTATACAGGACGTCTTGAGATTCCAACGCGCTTACGCTGAAAGCCCAATGGTCGATGCACACCCATTGCATTTGTTGTCGAGTACCGTTGGAATCAGAGGCGTGCAGGACCAATTTGATCTGTCGAAATGCGTAGGCTTGTCTTAGTACGTATACCTATAGTATTCAGAATAGAGTAAGGCTTGTCGGTAACTCAAAAGCAGACCCGACACTTCGTCTTCGTTATTGTGCCAAATGGGCAGTTGTAAGCCTGAGGCGATAGTGAAAGAAGTTGCCAATTCAGCCCAAGTAATACCAGGGTCATTTGGATTCGCTGGTGAGGTTTTGGCAGAAATCCAAATTCGTGTCGCCAATCCCGTTCCCTATGAACATGATCTTGCGATGGCAGGATGCAGGGGTCCCTCAGCAGTATTCAAGAAAGGTGGCAAATTTACCCATGAAACAAGATGTAGAAGGGGCGATTGGTCTGGCATGACCTTGGTGTTTTGAACCGATTTCAATTCTTCCTGATGCTTGTTTAGAATAGCTACGTGAGTATTTAGCTACGTAAGTATTTACGTGAGTATTTACGTGAGTATTTCAATTCTCCAAGTCCTTTTCTGGTGGGGCACCATTTTCCTCTACAAACCTGATCAGTCAAGCATACATGATTTTTTTCCCACTTCCATGTGATGTGTTCCAACCAAACACCAAACCATTCCCACTCCCATCGTCCCTCCCAAAAGCCCGTTCATCCGCCCGTTCATCGCCGCACTCCGAGCCGCGGAGCAGCGGAGCAGCGGAGCTCCGCGCGCGAACGAGGCCAAGTTGGAGCTCACGGACGATGATCTGATCCGCTTCAGCCGGGAGCGATGGGACCCGGGGGACAGCCCGTCTGCGGGTGGGGTTTTCATCGTTCGACCGGCAGAAAAGTCGGCGGGACAGAGTTAGATGAGAAAGGTGAAGATGTCCATCAAATTCCAGGTTCAACATGCACACATAGGGCACCAGAAAGAGATGTTTTTCACGTTCTTTTCTTTGACCAGCTAGACATAACTTCAAGGGTTGAATCTTTCCAACTTCGTCATAGGGTCAACCTGTGTGTTCTTCGAGGTACAGGGCTTTACACACCCTGGAACAATCATAGAAGTGGATGGCCTGGCTCCTTGGATGACCAGTTTCCACTTGATTATTTCAGGGAGTCTCTCGTTTTTTGCGAACAACAGGCGAAGTCCCGTCTCGTGCCATGTCTGGCTTCTCCTTCCTTCCCCGGTCTCGCCGAAAAGAGAAAACCCCACCGCCAGGAGAATGGCGCGCAGCTGACCGATTCGCAGGTGCTGAAATATATGGGCATGGCCACTGACAGCCAAAAGATGTCCAAGGCATGCCCCGAACGGAACCGGGTTACGGCGGTACGTCACGGCGTTACGGCGGTACCGCGTACGTTTTTGGACCCGCTGATCTGCTGGGAGCTGGGGGGGGGACCGTATCTACCTTTTTTTTCTTTTCCGCGACAAGAAAGACTCGCGTTCTGCGAGCCTCAGTGAGTTGCCCACTTCTACTTCTATAGGCCGGGTTTTGAAACACCTGGACACGGCGTATGATGTGATGTTTGCCCAAAAATGCAGGGCAGGTTTCGTTCGTGGCGGTTTTTGGCTTGTGTGTGTGATTTACCTGACAGACTTGTTTCATCTTTTTTCTACGTTCGCTGAAGGATTTGGCTCATGTTCCATTTGTCTTCACGTTGGGGTCGTTTCTGTGGGATTACGAAATGATTTCACCGTGGCATTTGTTGTTCTGTTCAGTCGATCATGATCGCACTGATTTTCAAGTCTCATCATGTTCGATACAACGTTTGTCATTGAACCAAGGGCTTCTGCCAGCTGAAACTAGGTCAGGCTGTTGAAACTCTCCCAGGACCCTCCGACAGGTCACCAATTGAAACCTGTTAGGGTCCAACAACCCTCAACTAACAGCCTGTTGGAGGGTGCTGGTCTAGATCTTGCTGGATCCTTATCTTGCTGGGCCCTTTGGAGTGGAGTCCACATCTGCTCGTACAACCTTTACACCCCGCGGAGACTCCAGACCTACAGCCCTTCTCCGAGGTTACGGGTGCGGGGGCGGAAAGCCCTACAGCCTTCATGATTGCCCCCAAACCGGCCGCTCTCTCCAGGGAGATCTTCTGATCAAGACCCACCCTGGGGGGGGACGGGGATGACTGCCGTGCCGTGGGTCCCCCCGGTGTTGGCACCGCGGTCCGCCGGTCTCGGCCGCCTCATTCACGGCCCCGTCGTTCACGCACCCCACGCGGTGCGTCTGCCGCCAGGCGGCCTATCGGAAGAAGGCGCAGAAGGAGTTGCTCCATGGGAAGCCGGTGGATCCCAAAGCGCCCAGGATTGGGTTGAGAGTTCCACCGCGTGCGCGCGCGTGTGTGTTGGGATCGACGACGCAACCGCCGTGCCGTTGAAGGACGGGACGCCGGTCAGCAGACACCGCGCGCGCGTGCGCGCGCTGGGTTGGGTTGGATCTTCCGAACGGCTTCTGCACACCATTGATGATCCATCAATTGCAGAGACGTGAGTCCAAAGATGCTCCAAAAAGGGGTCGCGAGAGAACGAGATTTGCCGAGCAACCCCACTTTTTTTGGGCCACTGCTCGAGCGCATCCTGCTGCTCGTTTTCGCCACGGGGGCGACAGGACCTTCTCGGCGGTGGTGCCGGTGGAGGAGCCGCCGCAACTGACAGGCGTGGAAGTCCGACATCCGACGCGGAGGGAGCAGCAGCGGTGCAGCGCCACGAGTGGTGGCCACTCACCTGTTTTGGACCCACCAGTGAGGCACCCTATAGAGAGTGATTCAGCTGAATGAATGGAGTGCAATCTTTAAAAACACACACACAATCCATGAGAACTGCCAGTGGTGGGAGGAATCAGTGATGTGAAGAGGTGGGAAAAAGGCACATTTTCTGAGTCCTTGGGATCTTGATTGCACCGGTGAAGTCTGGTGGTCACGGCTGGTGAAGCAGTGCTTCCAAATCGTATTGGGTGCTGGTACTGCATGGTGTCTTGGTAGGCAATCTGAGTTCATGATTCATGATGCGACAATGCGTTGGCAACATCACTTGCATCGCTTGGATGCGATTCGCTTCCTCGAAAGGCTCCACCAAGCGGTCTTGTGGGAAAAGTGATTGCTCCAAACTGAACAAGCTGTAGAGTGGGCTACGAGGTATTTGTGCAATGTGGATTAATATAGGGCAGCTTTGGGTAGAAACAAGTTCTGCACTTTGAACCGTCAGTTTGCCATAAATGTTTGTTGACTTGTGCACGGCAACTGTCCCATCACCCCGCGCCGCCGCCACTATATAATTTCATCAAGCGCAAGCAACTCCAGCTAATGTTTCTTACTCATAACCTTAAAACCCATTTTGGTTGACCCCACTGAACAAGAAATGGTGGAGTTCGTTCGGTTCAATTGAATTTCCGCATCGGAAAGTCAGGTCCCAACACCTCATGCAGCCCACCAACTCATCCAGCTAACCTCCACCACCTCTGCCAGGTGAACCACCCCCTCCACCGCTACCCTCCGCGCTGGTGCTTTTCGGTGCCTTCGATTTGGTGCAACCTTGGGGGCACACGGACGCGGAGCTGCGAGGAACTCAACGAACCCCACCAGTCCCCATGGTAGGTTGACCTCCCGAACCTAGAGGAATCTGTTCATTTTTAGTGGTCAATTAGGCATGGAGCATCTGGGATATGGGTAAAACACAACTTCTTTTGAACAAGAATGGGTACCATCGAACGCAAAACGACGAAGTCACCCAAAACGACGACTTTGCGGACACACCATGGTGCCTCTTTGCTGTAATTTTGTGGTGAACTGGAAGGGGCTTCGAAAAAGGACCCCACGCAGAGGAAAAGCACTCAAAACTTCCTTGTGACTGTGAGCATGGCTCAGATGAGGGATGGCGAGTTTTACTGTTGTCCATGCTGGACCATGGGGACAGTCACAGAATACATAGCTATTCCATGCTATTCCAAAGTACAATGTATACTCCTGTGCCGAGCTGATCTTCCAGTCATAGATAGTCAGATAGCCATAGTCAAATCAATATATAGTCATGCGTCAATATGCTTGTCCTAGGGACCTGATCTGACCGTGAGCCTCTGTCTGATGGAGATTAGGGCCGTGCCTGACAGAGCAGTTGCTCAGGTGGATGAGGATGAGTTGCCTGACATGGTTGAAAATGGAACGCCCTTTCTGCACCTAAAGCAGTTTCAAGAGTGCAGCTGGTAATCCTGGACTTTTGTGCTCCAGATGAGACTAAGTGGGAGCTAGTTCGCCGCTGTCGGGAGAATCATGTGGAGGAAGTTGAAAGCTTGAATCAGAAACCATACGATCCGGGGAGGTGGTCTCGCCGACTTTACGCACATTCATGTCGCGGCTCACCGAGGCCGATTGTACAATTGTTGCTTGAGGCTGGCGCTGACAAAGATGCAACCACTTCAGAGGATAGGTGGACGGCTTTGTATATTGCCGCCTGCAACGGCCATGTAGAAGTTGTGCGGTTGCTGCGTGAGGCTGGAACTGACAAGGATGCAGCAACTGCAAGTGGGGCAACACCTGTTCGTTAGTCTTGACTCAGCAGTCTAGCTGCCCTGCAAGGACAAGCATATCCTAAGAGGCTTCCGTTCTCAGTTCATGGCGCATTCAGTCAGACAGCCGTGTGCCCGGTTTTGGACCGACAGCCGTGTGGTCGGGCAGCCCGTGATCTTGGACATCAGTTGAAAGATGGACATCAGGGACGGATTCACCACACACACACACTTAGATATAGAGCTCGCAACGTCGCAAGACTCAGTGGTGAACTTCCTGTGAGGTTGGTACGCTTGACCTTACTGCAGATTAGACCTTGACTTGCAAAGACGGTAAGGCGAGAAGTGCGAAGAACTGAACAGTTGAACACACTCATTAGCACTTTAACGGAAAAGGAGGGTGAACAGCTAGGTCAACAGTTGAAAAGGAGCGGCACAAGCTCAAACATTGGTGCGGGTACAATGCGGCGTCCCACATTGCTTCACCACGAGCTGACAGTGTCTTCGTTGGGTAGTGTCTGTCAGTCGTGCACTACCCCCCATGCGAGTACTGTACAGTTTGTTCAAGTGTGTGGATCCCTTGGGAACAGACGTTGGACACACACAAACACACACTTCGAACTTGGATTTTCAGTTAACGCAATTGTCTCAATGGGAAGGAAGGCGATGGAACGGAAAGGTGCATGGATCAGCCAAAAAGTATTGTTGAACAATGTTTTCGAAAGCGCTCAAGTGGAAGCGGCGGTCAGCAGCTGCAGTGCAGTGGGAAACCTGTTTGTGGGGAAAGTATCATGTGGAACCACCATGAATCAAATCGTGGAAAAGTGGGGTGACAGCTTGTGGAAAAACTCAGCAGGTACACAATGCGGCGTCCCGCATTGCTTCACGACCGATCTATCACTGTCTTCGTTGGGCAGTGAGTGATAGTGGTCCACTGCCCCCCTGCCTGTGTGAAAGTGGTGGGGTAAGACCCTTTGTCCAGGGTGGGCTGTGGAGCACCCCCCTCAACCAATTGCGGCGTGCGCTTCGCCCGTCGAAGCGGCGCGAGTCTTGGCGGCGTGACCTGGCCAAGACCACAGCCATCTTCAGACCCACGAGACCCGTTGTTGGGAGAATTGGGAAACACCATGGATCGATCGTAGAGGGTGGAGGGTGACCTTGCACTCCTGGTGAGACCGGTCAGACCCAGGTCCGACGTATGGTCAGACCTAGGATTGAAAGCTTTTCATGGATGTGTGATTTGTTTGCGGAGCTCTATGAGAATCAGTGTGTGACCATGTATGACCACATCATCCTTGCCAGCTTTATGATGCTTGCGACCTGAGGTCACACCACCGTGTCACACAGTCCGGTGTAAATTGATGTCCGTGAAGTGGAGGGGGTTCCGAAGAAGCGATCGCGGCGATCGCACCTGAGGTGGGCAGAACTTCGCTGTGCTGGAGACAGCACCTTGGATGAGTTACACCCCTGTGCCAAAAAGAAGGTTCCATCCATAAATAGGTGCCGGGGAGGGGATCCATCCCAAACAATCCACCTGCTGTGTTTTTCTTTTTGTGAAGACTCATTTGCTAGCCTCATGCCACAACGGGGGGGCGGTTTTTGCATGTTTTGGCATGGGACTCTGGGGCTTTGGGAGTCATAGCCAGAGGGTTTCGGGATGTTTCGGGTGTAAGTTCAGCTCAAGCAGCTTGTTCTGCTCTCCTGTGATTTATTGAGTGAACTCGCCCACAGGTGGAACCACGACATGTTCCTGCGAACTCGCATCCCCACAGATCTGAACGCTTCATCTTGCTTCTCTAATGGACGAAGTGGCCAGGTCCCTTGATTCTGCATGTGGCCAGAGGGTCGGCGGAATAGGTTTTTTCATGTTTGACACCCCCAACATCAGACTTTGCAGAACAGCTGGACCCAATGGGGCCAGTGTTGGCTGTGGAACACTATAGAGCCAGATGGATGTCTTTGATAGGGCAATCCATTGGTCGATCAACATCATGTTGATAAGAATGCAGCCCCCCAGAACTCCTGGCTCACATGCCACGGGCCATTTTTGGCAAAGCCTTATGTAAATAACAATTTGGGAATTGAGCCAAGAGTGTACAGATGTCCACTCGCATCCACTGGCCACTTTTGCTCCAGTATAGTTGAAGCTCCCAATCACACGATCTAGAAAAGCGAGCCCACTTTGCAAGGGGTACGAGTCATTCTTTATTTCTACAGAGTCAGGTACGTGGTTCATGGTTTCATAATGTGAAACCCATGTTGGAATCTGGAAAACACGCTCAACCCTTGGGCTGACTGGTGCGACGAGACACCGGGCGGGAGAGACTAAAGAAAGAAGGAGAAAAACATCCTCATTCCTTGCCCTATAGGGGATCCAGTCAGACCGAATACCGAACCTCAGGTTCGGTACGACTGGAGCCTCCTGGCACCGTCTCATCACAGTGTCTCCGTCCTCATCTGAGAAGGTATGACTGGATCCGGTGAACGCGACGCACGACTCGAGGTGGGAGTCATCCGACTTCCCGTGCTTCGCACCGGAGATCTGGGCTTGACCGCCGCTCGGTGCGGTGCTGGGTGCTGCACGAGCAGCAGGGTGGGTGGGGTGGGGTGGGTTGGTTTGGGGAGCCGTGGGAACTGGGAGGTGGGAGACGAAAGATTCAGACGAACGGAAGGGATGGACCTGCAGTGGGTGAATCTAAATGGAAAGGATTCGAAGTGGTCACTTTCAGGCAATCACTTTTCATCCTCACAATGTAACAGATGAGTTGATGTAAATGGATATATACACAATAACTTATTTTTTCCGATGATGGTGGCCACCCAAACACCTGCTGGCAACACAGCGAGTCAATTTGATGTCCGAAGAAACTAGAAAGGTGAAGTAGGGAAGAATATTGATTGCCTGGTAAAGAACTATGGATGGTCAGGTCTGGTGAGGAAGAACATTTGAACTTCCTCTACTGGTGCCGTGTCGCTTTCCCGTTCTATTTGGAGGGGGTAGGGCCGGGCCGTGGGCGCCCGTCATTCGCTCGCTGCATGCGGTCCGCCGGGGGAATCACTTCCTTTCGCCCCTTGGAATGGACGCAAGTTGGTCTGCCATCTTTGAGGTGATGGTGGACTATTGCTGCAAAGATGGCTTGGCCAAAGACAAGGAGGACTATCAGGCAGATCCTCCTGTCTTAGGATGGGGTAGGACGGTAGGATGGCTCCGATGGGAGATGATGCGAACTCGTCTCGGCTCCCTGATGGACCCGGTCCCTCCGACCCTCCACGGCGGCGGAGTGAACATCCTCGACTGTGAACATCCTCAGAATCCATTTGGATACCCCTTTTTCCGGTTTGGTTGCCATTTTGGGGCAGCTGGGAACCATGGTTTTCTCATATAACATGGTAGAGATCCGTCACCGTTTGCTGGATTCCACTTGATCGTGCCTCACCTGATTCACTCCTTCAACAGCCTGCTCGAAGAAACAAAAGCGGCCACCCAAAACCGCTGGAAGGGTGGGTCCCAGATAAATTTGACCAATATACGGTGGTTTCAGAGTAGATGGCACAAACCCGAAGATGTCTTTAGGATGGGGATCCATATTTTTGGGATTGTGCCATCTATTCTGAAACCGCTGTACCAGTGAGATCGCCTTTGGAGTCCACATATTCTGGGTCTCGACACCGTTTTGGAACCTTGAAGCCTCTTTCGCCTTGGCTTTTGGTGGTTTCCAGCTGGCTGTCCGTGCGCTGATGGATGAGGCTCGGGGTTCCAAACACCAGGGTCCCATATGCAAAGGATTGCGTGGATGAAGCACTCGTCAACACTCGTCAACTCTGTCCCAGCCAATGGTTGGAATGTACCTCCTTGGATGAGTCTTATTCTCGAGTGGATCGCCGTGACTCCGTGATCAGTGGAACCCGCAACGCTTGGGACTCGGGAGTTGTGGAACTCCCAACATTCACACGGCTCCTGACACTTGTGGGATGACACTTGTATGGGATGACCTAGTCCTTGTATGGTCACCATATGGGATGACCTAGTCCTTGTATGGGATGACACCATACAAGTGTCCCACACCATACATCCCACCAGGGGTCACCCCTCCTTTTTGTCCAATGTTTGACTCCCTTTTCTCCGTGTTTGGGCACCCAAGGGCCCTTCAAACCGCAAACCACACTGGCCGTGACTCGCCAGGCAGCCGAAGGCACCCTGACGTTTCTCCCTGATGAGGTGGAGCGGGATGTGCAGGAGGTGGCAGGTGCAATTGGACTATACGTTGGACTCATTTCATCTCAATTGACCCCTTCACTGTGAGTCAGTGAGTTCTGTGTGAGTTCTGTGTGACTGCAACCACTTCGTTGGCCTCGATATGCCTCGATCAGTTCGAACACCTCGGTGAGGGCTGGATTCGAAGCTGCGGAATCGATTCGAAGCACATCAGCCTTGTCCAACGTCCAACAGATCGATTCGAATACCTCAGTTGGGGGAGAACGAAGATGCTGAGAGGGCCGATACTGTAGCAGGGATCTGTTAGGAGGAAGCCAAAGTGTTGAGGTTTGGTTTTGATCGTCGAATCATATTTTTTTGTTTGAAGATCAAGCTCATCTAGCTCCAGCTCTGTCAATGGGAGCGCTCCAGCTCCAGCTCCCATGAGGTCGAGAAGACCATCGAGATCATCATTGTCAAGGATGATGTTCCGGAGGACCTCGTCCTAAAATGCTGGACATGTCCGCAGAAAAAGACGAATGTTTGGGGGCATTTCCATTGGCGTCGCGTGTCCGGAGCGTCTTTTTTCGTGCCCTGCGCTCTCTTTGCTCTCTTTTTTTAGCACCAAACCGATGTAAGAGCGCCTTTGGATCTCTCAAAGTTCCGGGAGGATTCCCAGTGTTTCTTAGGAGGTTCGGACGGTCGCAAGACCCAAGAGATCAAATTGGCTACCAGGCAACATGTTGGCTTTTCTTGCACATCACCTTCAACATCCTTTTAACAGAAACAAATCAGAACAAAACATCGGTTGCATCTCAATTTGTTGCTGCACACGGGCCTGCCGCTCGAGCTCGCTACCCGTGAAAGGTTGAGGGTGTTCACTTCACCGTGGCCCTCTAGGCTGAGTCAACCGCCGGAAGGGGTAAAGCATGGTAAAGCATTTTATAGAAGAACACAACTCCCCAAGGTTTGGATCGAAGTGAGTACAAGAATCAGGCATGGACCATGGGCAAAGCAGCTGAACCAAGAGCATACCAAACCCAAACAGGATAAGTCAGATGACCTAGGGAGGCCGAAACAGGACGGGAAGGAGGACAGGCCTAAACAGTCCCACCAACGAAGCCGGACAAGAGGCCGAAACCAAAAACCGGTTGCATCTCACGTGGCTCCTACCACCTGGCACCTCCACCAGTGGGGTGACGCCTTGTCCTGGCGGGGTGACGCGGAACCTGCCCTGGTTCGGGGCGTCGGTTCCGCGTCCAGGACAACGAAGACTTCTTCGTGGAGCTCGCCAACCCCCGAAGCTCCAGTAAGGTGGGGGTGCGGACAGGACCCGTAGACGGAAAAAAGAAGCGTCCCCATAATTTGGGGGGTGGAGGGGTGGGTGGGTTCCCCGCCGTGGGTGGGCAGACTGGACATTTGTTTTTGAAGGCTCTTGTAGGAGCTATTGATTATGGATCACCTCTATTCACCTCTGTTCCCTGCCTTGAGAGCGATGTTGAGGCAGCATCCACAGCCCCAGCTCGGTCTTGCAACATGTTGCGCCTTTGCACTCCCTGCCCCCAAGTTTGGTAGAGGAAAGTCAGCTTCATGTGATGGTGTCATTTCTGCAAGACTTTTTCATTTTGTAAACCTCCCCTCCTCCAACGTTCGGGGTGTCATCGAATTGGGTGTAGACGTTCCACGTGCTTTTCAATGCAGGGAGGGAGGGAGGGTCATAGGAGTCAGTTATACATTTGGACACAGAGTTTCTAGACTTCTTCTCTACCATCAGGCTCTCCTGTTCTGCTACATTACATGGCTGCTTGCACTCAAGAGGGTCCTTGGAGAGATTGCGCACAGTCTTCATCTAGCATGTAGTAATTGATGTTGTGGCTTTTGTTCATCGCCCCATATCTTAACCGCTACTTGAGCATGAATGACCTATGTACGGCAGCATGACTGGCCATGCCTTGCGGTATCCCCCAAGCTGCTTCAAAAACAAGCATCACTATAGCGGGGACCAAACGAGAAGACCTTGAAACTGCCATTCTGAGTAGCTCGGACATCTTGGAAAGACGATGCAAATAGATGCACATAGATATTTTTCCACTTCCATATTCTGTGTTGAAGGACAAGGGTACCCCAAAGTTAAAATCCCTGGCCCCAACCTTTCCAAAGTTGCAAATGACTTAGTCACTTCAACATGGGTATAAGTGAGCGTTGGAAAGCACTCACTCAAACCACCAACACGTCCAACCCCCCCTTCCGAGCTCGCTCACTCACTGCGCCCAGGAGGGCTTCGCAGAATTGGGCTCAGTGGCTTCCGCGAGGCTCCACCAGTCAGGGTGGTTGAGGAGCCATTAAATGGACACCCTTTCGGTAGTGCTGGTGTTGATGGTTGATGGATGCTTGACACATGACCGTCACATGCCCTACTGTCCATGGGCTGTGGCATGGACTGTCCGCAAGTCGCGCCATAATTATATACTTGGAGAATCGAAAACGATATATGACAAGTTATGACACATGTGTTTTTGTTGACCCTCATGACCAGTTCATGATACCCAACAGTTCCCAAAAGACAATCCTTTTCAGCCAAGTGAGTGGATGCTTTGGGCACCCTCTATCCTCCAATCGTTCGCCCCTAGCTCAGCACGGCGGCTCCCTCGCCGCTCCGAATCCAAGCGGCTCGACCCACTGGTAGGGCCTGGCTGCACGAAATCCTGCGATAGAACACACATAGATGTCTCTTGCATCGACATCAGCGGCGGCTTTGGGCTTTTTGTATTCAACCACCGATCTTCGTATACCCACCCCCAAACAAAAACATAGAACACGCACCAGCACCCTCCAACAGGCTGTTAGTTGAGGGTTTGTTGGACCCTAACAGGTTTCACTTGGTGACCTGTCGGAGGGTCCTGGTATGGGTGGTGTAGCAATATAGGGAGACCTCCTAGTTCGACCCCCCTGGAAGAAGAGAACTAGACCAACACCGATTGGTTGAAGGTCTCCCTATTAACATACACACCCGCAAGTCAAACATATTAGAATTTGCATGAAGAGTGGAGTTTACATGTTCAAAGCAGTGGGCTTTCAGGTTCCATATGGTTCTACTCTGGTTCGACTGACTTAGGCATTGAATCGGGGTGCATTTATCATCCGACACCGTCGACCAACCGGTGGATAGGTGACGGGCTGCTGGCGATTTCCCCCGAAAAAGAGTGCCCCTTTTTCCATGTCCAGTTTTAGCATGTTTTAGCATTCCCTTGACAGAACCCGTTGGCATAATTTTTTGCCTTAGAATAGCGCTCTGGGGGTTTCCCGACGACTCCGAGATGATGTTCTTGCCCTATTACCCACGAAGATGGCAGGGTCATTATTGTTGACACCGACGTGCCGTCCATCATCTACACCGATGAAGACTGCATCATGGTACACGAGGCGTTCCAGCTTTCCGCGATTTTTTTGGTTCAAAAAGGGATTGGCCGGGGTATCTCCATGTGGAGATCGCAACTTCAAGCAGATCATACATGTGAACTGTTGATCAAGAAAACCTCCCATATTCGAGACCCGTGCGCTCAGACCAACTGTTCTTTCTATATTTCCAGGGTGAATTTGTTTGGATCAGGAGATTTTGCACATCTCATGGCACATCGAATCACTCCTTCGGCCCAAACGTGGGACATGTAACAGATAAACCAGGTGGATCAACCAGTGACAGTCCCTCTCCCCCTTTAAACTGACCCACCGACATTTGGACCTGCACTTTAGGTTTCTTGAAGTTCTCAGAGGCGCAGTTTCTGTACTTAGACTATTACCAGCACCACCCAGCTTGGGTGGTTTATGAAACCCCCATGAAGATGTAGTTTCCATCTAATACCCACCCGTCTCCTGGTTGGTGCTGGTACACATACAGAAGTTGGTGTCTCACCACCCCGGATTCTGGCGGAGAGTGCGACTTCGTCACTTATACAAACAACCTGCAAAAACACCTGCACGTAGTTGGGCCGCAATTTGGGGCACCATTAAAAGGATGCCAAGAAGCAGGGGTGGTGTTGCCCCTTAGCAGGTGACCCTGGCTTGGCGCTTCTGTTCTTCTTGTTTTCCGAACTGGGTGAACCCCCTTTGCGGGCAAGATGTACTTTGTCCCTGGTTCCTGGACCGCAAATCCAGGTGACTGTTGCCTCATGTTTGCGACCGTGAGAGAGATATGAACAAGTCCATGAGGTTGTCTTCAAAAACCAATTGGACCGTTTTGCACCAGATCGAGTCTTTGTTGTGGGTGGTGTAGGTGGTGTATTGGAATATAGGGAAGACCCCGAGTTCGGCCTGAGTTCGACCCCGTGGAAGATCCTGGAAGAAGGGAACATAGACGGGAGGTTCCCTATTTCTCAAACAAACCCATGTATAGACTGTCTAGAAATGTCTAGAAACCTTCTTCACCTTTTGCTGAAAAAGGCCTGTGGATCTCGCGCGGCGCCCGGAGCCCCGTCTGCACCAGGCGAAGGCATCTCCCGAGGAGGGCGACAGCCCGAGGCAGATGGCACAAGAGGTGCATCTCACTGTGAGGCGCGAAGAAGAGCTTCTGATTTTTATCATGTTGCTTTGGTTCTGATGGACTTTATCTTTATATTTTTCGCGTCCAAGGGAGAAGGTCCGTGTTTTTCTATTGGTTTTCTTGAATTGGTTGGACTATGAGTCCTTTTACCAAGAAGACCTATAGTTCATGAACAGAGATCCAGAGAATAACCACCAAGGGGGATACAAGAAGCAATCTGAGAAAGTCTTGCAGATTCTAGTGGGAGGTATTGTGGTTGACCTCAGGCTGATTAGACTGATAGAGGTGATGCTCATCCAAGTCTCTGAAAAGAGATCAAAGATACTTGGGATTTCCCAAGGCCAGTCTCCTGTTCTGCAGAAGCTTCCGGCGTCCTCCCTCCTCCCTCCAAGAACGCCAAGCCAGGCCATTCCGGCCATTGACCTGTATCTTTCAGCGGACAAATCATCGGAGCGTTCACTTCTTCGGGTCCTCGAGCCTTCCCCGACCCCCACGCCGAAAGGAAAGACGAGCCTCGAGCCTCGACGAGCCGACACTCGGACGAACACATGACTTGACAGTGGTGAAAAGTGGAGTGGACATCCATCCTGTTCGTACCGGAAAGCCGTTTTCCTTTGACCATGCCATCCACGTAACCATGTGATGTGCTCGTCAGAGTGTATTTGTTTGGGGTCTCTAGTCTGGTCTTGGCCGCCTACCTAGAGAACTGGTGGAGTATGGTGCAGTGACGAGATTCATTCGACTTCCCCGCATCTTCCCTTCTGCACCTCATAGCATCCCTTTTGGTGTTTGATCTCCAAACGGTGCGCTGTGTGGCCAAATAGTCATCGCCTGAAGAGTCATGTGCTCGTGAGTCCTGACTCCACCCGATGATTCAGGCGGAAGGATGGCTGCGGACCTGTCTCCTGCAAGTACATCACGGAGGACTGCTGTGCATCAAGTGGTGCTCGCATTTTTCACAGTTGCTGTGCCTATTACAAGCGCCTTCTTCAGTCCCACACCAACAGCGGAGTTCTTCCGCGCGGCACACCGGTTGATGGTGTTTGGAACAGCAGCGCCTGTTCTCGGGCACACGCAACCGTCTGTCGCAGAAATCCAGTGTTGTTCAAGGACACATGGGTGGTGCAAGAGTTGGTTGCACTGGTTGCACATCTGTTGCGCATCAGCTCCTGCTGGCTAAAGCGTAAGGAAAGCGTGGGTAGTGGGTAGTGCCGTAATAGCCATAAGCAAACTCTTACGACATCATCCAACGCTTTACGCTTAAACATGTTTGACCACTGTTCAGTTGATAGTGTCATGAGATTTTGCACCATCCCCTGATCCACATAAATCCATTAACAACAGATATTTCAACCAGCGCTAACTAACACAGCATCTGAGAGCTTCTAGAAGGGTACAACACCTGCAAGCTGAATGCTGTTTAAACCAAAGTGTACATGTCCTTGTGCAGAGTCAACTGCTTTGCACACCTGATGAATCCTGATGTCCTTTTGTCTTCTTGAAGGACTCCACCTGCACTGCACTGGCCCTGCCGAAATCGCCCGTCCACTTCCTTCGCCATGGATACAGCAACAATATCAATGCTGAACACCTTAGAGTTACAGCTTTCAGTCCAGAATCCTTATCAAGGACCCCCAACCCTGCGAACCCTGTGGTGATTTCTAGGACGGCTGTGCAGTCGAAGGCCAGGACTCGAGGGTCTGAGGGCTCCAGTGATCGGCGGGATGGACTTGGGGGATTAGCCGCAGGCGGTTCTCGATTTTTCTTAGGAGTGTCCCGGTGTCCCATTACCTGTAACAGTTGGTAAACAATGATCCCATATTATCACGATATAGAGAAAGGATGACTAAAGCCTTTACTATCCTCTACTAATCATCATCATCCACTGTTGCAAGGGCATGGGATACCCCAATCTATGCTTCTTCCCGTCGTTTTTGCTGGGAAGACGGCAATTGGCTTTTACCAATGGACGTGAGCAAGCAAGTTTGCCAATGGACGTCAGCAATCAAGCGAAAGTGTGACGTCTTCAGAACAAGAGTGTATGCACTGAAGATCCAGTTGTCCTTCGCAGTTCCTCGGACCGCTTTCCAGAGGAAAACCTTGGCTGGACCGGTTTCGCAGATGTCTTCGAAGTCACGCCAAACGTGTGGTGTCAAGTGTTGCAAAACATCATTCAAGTCCATCAATCAGAAACATATTTGGGAATGGGCCACGAGACGGTATGGAGGAACCAACTACTAAGCTTGTGGTGTCTAGTATGAAATGTCAACTGTTGCCCTACATAGATTGCCAAAAGGACATATACGACATAAGATTATATAAATTATATAAGATAACATATGCATCAGATAGACATTAGATATACAAGTTGAACACATTGTTTCAAGACATTGAGCAAATCAAAGCAGCTGGATCCAACTGGCACCCCAACTCCAGATAACTTTTGCTGTTTTTCACCTTTGTTCTCAACTGAAGCCCTTCTCTTTGGTTGGCCATCTCACCCTCAGGCCACGACTACGAGGGCTTGGAAGGGGAGCTGCACTTCGAGCCGCACGAGATGACCAAGGAGCCACGTTGGTCTTCGTGCTTTTCAGATAAGACAGGCATGTCTATTCCCAGACGGGCTCCTGGCCTACCTCCATGGTTGCCAGGTCGAACCACCGAACCGTCTCGGAGATGTGGAGCCCGATTTGGCATCGATATGCGACCTACCAGCTTCTTCTGTTTGTGACCTTTTTTGGAGCCTTTGTTTGTGACCTTGTACAGGCCCTTTTGTGACCTCAAACCGAGATATCAAAAGGATTCAAAGGGTCACTTTGAAGAACTATATATATATATGTGTAATATTTGTACCAGCACCCTCCAACAGGTCTCGTCTGGTGGCTTTTGGAGACTTAAAAGTGGCAGGTGGTGACACGTTGGAGGGTGCTGGCATAGATTTTTGCAGTTTGAAAGGCTGGTGAGGTAGATAAGAGACCCCTGCTGATCAAGCCAACAAGGGCGAGACCCACATGGACCTGCTATAAAGATGCTGGTTTTGAGGATCAGGACTTGTGAACTATGAGATCGTCTGCTACATATTGCTACATATAGTTTTGATGTGAATTTTTAGAAGGGATGGAGATCTGTTTGAGACCTCGCCATTGTCAACCAACGCAGGTCACTTCGCAGTCACGAAAAGCCGTGGAATCCACTGTTGCAGTTATCAGTTGATTCCATTACCCAAAGCAGCTGTGTGAAAATTTGGGCAAAAATGTTTCAAACGAGGGGTAGAGCACTACATAGAGAGTCTTGGAGTCTTCACCAAGTCTTGGCTCCGATCGCTGTTGCAGGAACTGGTGATCTCCATCTTGGAGTCCTGTAGTGACCTGGCAGAAGTCCGAGTTTTCGTTTTACAAGAGGTCCACAGAACAACATGGGAGCCCGTGGAGAACAAAGCGACCACTTCTGCTGCGGATGCTGCTAGTGCTTTTCTGGTGCCTGGTGCTGACAGTCTGGGGCGGAGATTTCTCTTCCAAACACAAAGAGATTTCGGGACGAAAGGACTATGACGAAAGGAGCTCCGACATGTTCTGTGAGACTGGCGGTTCCCCGGGGGCAAGCCCAGCGGGGAGAAGTTTGCCTCATTTTGCCTCATGACTGGCTTCAAAACCAAGCATGGACACAATAAAGGTGGAGTTCAGCACAGAAGTGGAAGCTGTTCAATATTGTTCAATAATACAGGGCCTTGTTTTGGATGACGTAGGTATTTCATACAGAGGGTGTGTGAATATCTGTGGATATGTTTCAATGTTTCAATGTGTTCTGTTGACGAGCCACTGTGCCAGAGGGGACAAATCATCATCAAGGCGTGGAACGCATCAAGCTGTCTGGGTTGCAGCTGTTCAAGTCATGATTATTATAGTTCTCATACCCTCGGTGACGAGAGACCCCTCGGTCAGAGAACACATCGCTTTTTGACGTTTTAGGGCACATTCCATGAGAGTCTCTGAAAGAGCAGGTGTTGGTCTATGGAAAACATCTGAAAAAACATCCGGGTTTGGGTCTCCTGCCTCGAAGGGCGCATGGTGCCCTTTGGCAAGATGTATGGCTTTTTGGAGAGGTCGAGTCCGAGGGATGATTTCAGTTCATACCCCCCCTGGTCAACGCAGCTTCTCAGACAATCTCACACATGCTCATTATGGCGTACTCCCTGGGCAAACTACTCCGGAGTGCAGAGGCTCTGAACAACTGGCCTCTGATTGAGAAATTGTAGATTCAGCAGCATTGTGCTTCCTAGTTTCAGGAAGTCCACCTTAGTCACAAAACACCAATATACATCACTATAGATTGCACAGTACACCCCGGTCATCCTATAGTCGCTTTAGGGAAACCGGAATCTGCGCTTCTGGTCCCTCTCCAGATCAATATGATCTATATAGACCCCCAAATAGATAGAAAAGTAGATCCCCACTAAAAATGTATTGGACACCATTTCTATCTATTTGGGCACCACTATATTTGGCCATTGCTGCTTACATCTCGGATGTGTGATGCTCGCTGGACCAGCACTCTCTCAGGCTACAACCACAAGCTGGACGGGGGGCCCGTCACTGGAGGGTTGGGGGGGGACCAGCTACAGTCACCACCATCGTACTGGTAGGGAGTCGAATCGACACCCGAGCTTGGCATCCAACAGATTCCTTTGACTGTGGTGTGGTCAACAGTTGGCTCCTCCCCTGTCTTGAAGTGGACGTCTTCATCCCAGGATGGATCAGCGGCGAATGAACGAACAAAGACTGGTTTTTATTTGGCTCCTGACTCAAGTAGTCGAACGGGCATGCTGCGTTCGTCTGAAGGAGATACTGTAACAGGATCTCCTACTAAAGCAGTCTAAACGAGATAGGGCCCCCACACAATAGATAGTGTATTTGAGTTTAGTAACAAATAAATGTCGCTGTTCATATAGGAGTCCAGAGCACACGGTGCTTAGAACATGTGTATAGTTGAGACGCGCAAGGTGGGCATCTGTCACATTTCTGACTCAAATTACCTACGAATCATTAAATGATCATGTTGATTCTCTGAGGATCCAGCACTTTTCAGGGGACCCACGCCCACTATACTTCTATAATATGTTCACAACAAAAACCACGGCCATGGCCGTTTTTAGCACGTCAAAACCCTGCTCGCCCGTTCCCCGAATGAGACGCGGCAAAAACAAAGGCTGGGACTTGCTGGGTATAAAGCCTCGACCCTAAGGGACTTCTAGTATAAGACCCTAAGAAGCCTAAAGACCCTAAGACTGGACTTTATATATAGCTGGAGACAAAAAACACCCTTAGAATAGACTATAGCTTGAGACCCTAAAACTTTTCTATTTTCGCGGATGGCTTCGCAGTTCGCGCCTGGTTTAAGGTTTTGCAGCATTTCATGTGTGTCACTTGTGGGTGTACACAGATGTTCCCACGGACGTAATTACCTGCAGATGTACCGATGTACCCTGAAGAAAGCTGGCCGCCGTCATTCTCAGCTCTTCCCAACCCACTGTTGAGGACTGCAACAAAAAGACCTGCCCCGCCTTCAGAATCCCAGAAAAAACCATCAGGAATCAAGAGAGACCATATCACCATATCTCTTCATCATAGGTTTTTCAATTGACTCTCTTGACCTTTTTCGGTCCGACACGGATCCTTTTCACCTATGCCCTTCTCTCCAGAACGCTCGAGGATTTCCGCTTGATCCTCTTCGAGGCCACCGGTGGCGCGCACTTCGACGCCCAAACCGATGGCGGTGAGGAGCCGTGGGTGCCCGGTCCCGAGCTCGCTGGGCGTTCCCGGGGCGCGGTGGCCGTGGGAGCAAAAGAGAACATGTATAATACTGGGGGTAGCTGTATGTGGCATCGTTTTGGAGGTTGCATCCAGATTTTGGGGTGGTAAGCCGAAGAGTCCCAGAAAGTCCCTTTGGACAGGTTAAAACCGAAGAACTGGTTAGACTGGTGCCTCGGGACTTTTGTCCATCCACACAGATGGACACAGCCAGGCACCGGACTTCTGGAGGCTGAACATTCCGGGTCTGGATTCGTCGTGTCGTGAACCTTCAGGCTGAATTCATCAGGGATGTCCTTCGTTCTTCGCCTTACCAGGAGAGTTGTGTCGTCACGCTGGTGATCACACCACAGGAGGTGGACGCGACTTCGTCCGTCCGCGACCGGGGGGCGGCACGGAGGTTCGGTGGTGTTTGGGGCGGTCCTTCGCACCCGGGTGTGGTATCTGCACTCCATCAGCCCACCTCCGTTTCGGTTCGGTGGGACTGCGGTGGGTGCTCTTGGGGTCTAACCACCGAACCTGAGGAGATGGTGAAGTCGCCCTAGTCTTCCAAATCGGAAAGCTTCCGGATGAATGCTTTCTTTTCCTCAGACTCCAGACAGCCCCGGGACTGGGTTGTGCAATGGATGAGATCTTGGAGATGAGATTTCGTGACCCTCCAGATGGTTGGGCTTTGATTGAGTTAAGAGCAAAACCGTGGAGTGGGCACCAGACGGTACTCCCACGCTAATCGGCTCTAGGAGTTGATTCGAGAAGAACGGTGTTTCTTTTTGGGTTTTATTCGGACTGACCTGCAAAGTCCTTGAGAAGCATGGATCAAAGCTATGCAGAAGGTCGGGGCGATGTTTTGTGAGTTTGTAAGGTCCGGTGCAGATAGAAGACATCTTCGAGCCGAACACATCAGGGCGATCAGGGCGTCGACCTTGTGCCCACTCGGAGATCTTTGAAGCATTCGGAGGGGGGGATGATTCAATGGTTAGCTCCAGTCCAGCTCTGCATGTGTTTCCTTGTCACTCTGTTCGCCCTCCCCCCAGACGCCCTCGGTCCGGACGTCCGACGACCTCAAGGTGGCGAAGGACTTGCGGGCCCGGACCATGAGGGCCCTTGGGGTGAACTGGCAGAAGACACAGAAGGGCCACGAGAACTGGAAGGCGCGGCCGGTGTCGACGACCGCGGCGGGTCGATGTCCCGGGCGCGAGAGGGGTCGGTGAACGTCCCGGCCGCGATGGCCGTGAAGGCCGATTCTGTCGGCGTTTGGGGTCTGTCAATCTCTCGACAGGTCAGGAGTCTGGTGTTTGGAAAAAGCTGAAACAGAGTCCTTCCGCGGCTTCCCCCAAAAGCGGTGGATGAAGAGTGTCAGGCCGAAGCAGGGCTGATCCCCCAAAAGCGGATGTCACCTGCAGGTCACCTATTTTGGGGACAGAAGTGGGCACACCATGTGTATTGCCCCACTCAACACCAAGCGGTGGGACAGTTCGCTTTATTTACTGTCATCCATAGTCTATTTTCCCACCGCTTTGGGATGAAACGAACATGCACCGATCATGGCAGCAGCTTTGCAAGCCCTAGGGGATCCACTGCCGTCCTCCACCGAACACGGAGAACAGGGTGGACGAACCAACGCAGGGCTGAGCCGGGGTGCAACGCGTTGCACATCCAGAAACTACACCCAAACGGAAAATTCAGAAACGCATCGGTCTTTCCATCCATCCTGCTCCTTCCATCGGACCCTAAACCTCCAAACACCTCCTGAGAAGATGGTTGGGGTGGGTTTGGGGGGTCTAACCACCTTCTGAGGATATGGTTGGAGCTCTAGGGAGACGTGTTTCCAGATATGTGATGTTTCATAAATACACATCACCAAACAATCCAGGTCCACTACCTTTTCCTGCAAAGAACCAGCCCATGTTCATAGCCTTTTTCCGACCAACATACTTGACCGACAACAGTCTTTTTGGACAAGGGATGGGTACATTGGTTACGGTTTGGATTGCGACATGGGACATGGAAGAAAACACCGCACAGAGGAAAACTACTCAATCTTCATCGTGACTGTTTGCTCAAACATGAGAAATTGCAATTATCACTATGGACATGGTATTCCACTCACCAAATTTCATGCACACAGTTTATTCCACTGTACTCCGACTCCTACTCATTTACGCAACAGATCTTTCAGCCGTGGTTCGTCTGCTAGTACCCTTTTCATTGCGCCTCAATGATGGAGATTAGGGCCGTGTCTGGCAGAACAGTTGCTCAGGTGGATGAAGATGAGTTGCTTGACATGGTTGAAACTGGAAAGTCCTTTTTGCACCTAAAGCAGCTCCTTTCAACTAAGGTTGGACACTCAAGATTTCGACAAAGGCTCTTGAGTGATACAATCGGCGAATTGCATGACAGCATGCCGCTAATACCAGTTTCAAGTGTGCAGCTGGTAATCCTGGACTTTTGTGCTCCAGACGAGACTAAGTGGGATGAGCTAGATCGAGGCTGTCGGGAGAATAATGTGCGGGCAGTTGAAAGCTTGCTTCAGAAACCGTATGATCCCAACTGGAGAGGTGGTGCTTTCAATGCTACGCCCATTCATATTGCGGCTAACAGAGGCCACTTGGAGGTTGTCCGATTGTTGCTTGAGGCTGGAGCCGACAAAGATGCAGTAAGGACAGATGGGGCAACCGCTTTGTTTATTGCCGCCAAGAATGGCCACTTGGAAGTTGTGCGATTGATGCTCGAGGCTGGAGCTGACAAAGATGCAGCAAGGACAGAAGGGACAACGGCTTTGTTTATTGCCGCACATAGCGGCCACTTGGAAGTTGTCCGATTGTTGCTCGAGGCTGGAGCTGACAAAGATGCAGCAAGGACAGAAGGGGCGACGGCTTTGTTTATTGCCGCCCAGAACGGCCACTTGGAAATTGTGTGGTTGTTGCTCGAAGCGGGAGCTGACAAAGATGCAGCGTCGACCGAA